TATCAATGTGATTAAACTCAAAGATGTCCATCATCTTATCCTTCATTTTATTCTTTGCGTATATTATGCGGCGTAGCCAAGGGAGGGGGGTCATAGGGGGGAACCGTAGGTTCCCCCTATAAAACATAACTTCCATTTAACTTTTCCTGTAGCATAACTTTATGATATTGCTCAGAATCAATGTCGTAAAAGTTTGGTGAAAACATTATTTTACTTAAAATTCCATCTTCAGTATTAAACATAAAATTTTGTTCGTTGGTGTATCTAACGGATTGTAAGCTTAAGATTGCGCTGTAGTTACTTATTTTAACTTTTGTAATATTTTGCCTAAAATCTTCTGCCAACCATATAACAATTTTTTTTCCGTTAAAATCATTTGGCATGGTTAATTGACTTCTTTGTTTATTAACAACTAAAAATAATACATTACCAACTGAAGAATAACGTAATGTTAATATAATACTTCGCCCACTTGTATCTCTTTTATATAAACCAAATGATCTATTTCTCCAGTGATAAAATATTAAGCATAAAGTATATTTTGTAATATTATCAGGAGGAGAAAAACTAATATTATAATCACTAACATTTAGACCTTCTTTTTTTATATCATCTATGGTTCTAAGAGGAATACCCATTTCTCTTAAAGTATTACCACTACTTGAAGATAAATATCTGAAAACAATACCTGATGAGGTTCTACTCAATTTGTAATTAGTGGCATTAGTAAAATCATAAACTTCTTCGAAATAATCTCTGTATAAATCGTTTATAGTGTGAGGTTTTATTTCCTTTACCATTCCAACTGTTGCTGCGCTATTATCATTATTTCTATCAAGATTAACATTTAATATTTTTTTATTATTTGCATTTATATCAACATTGTAAACCACTTGTGTTGGTTTGATATCAAATGCGGTGTGATAATCATAAACTTTATCTGGATCTATATTGCTAACTTTTCCCACAATACCATAAGTAATTATATAAACACCTGAAAACTGATTTGGGTAAGTAGCCAAGTCAGTTCCAGTTTGTGGTATATCAACCAAAAAATGAAGAAAGAACCTATTTCCAGTTGCTAACTTCCGGAAATTAACTATTATTCTGTGATAATACATAAATGCTACTCGCCCATTTGATTGTGTGTACCTATGAGATAGTTTCCTCACACTAACATTTCCAATTGATAATCCTGTTGAAGTTCCTTTTTCCACACTTATTTGAGACTTATGCCATAAAGCGTATTCAGTGTTGAGTATTTCCAAGCACAGAGTGTAATCGGTATTAGCAGTTAACCTGTAAAAGTTGATTCCCATTTTGTACTTATATCCACCTTGGGAATTTTTGTTAAGAGCTAAATAAATAACTTTGTGGTTATAATCGTGAAAGTTTCCTTGGTTTGGTGCTAAATCTCCTATTCTTTTTATAACAAAACTGGTTCCGCTAGTTATTTCATCAGTCCATTGAGCCGCACTTGACATGAGATAAGAAAACTGGTCGTTGTAATGACTTGGTTGAACTGCTGTATGATGAACCAGTTTGTCAGCGTAATCTTTATTTACCGCGTCATTGTCTTGGGTTGGTTTACTAAGATTTATTATTTTATTATTACCAAGATTAAGGTTCCCAGTCATAGCAACGGTACCATCTTTTTCTAAGTAATCGCTTAAATCTGGAGCATCTGTGTTATCATCCACATACTTTTTGGTTGCGGCGTCTGTGTTTGATGTAGGAGTTGCGAGACCAACTATTTTTTTGTTTCCAAGATTTAGGTTATTAGTCATTGGTACACTTCCATCTTTTTTTATAAAAGAACTGGTATCAGGTATTGAGTCATCCACATACTTTTTGGTTGCGCCGTCAGTGTCTGATGTTGGTGGTCTAAGGTTAACTATTTTTTTATTATCCATGTTTAAATTATTAGTCATTGTAGATGAACCATCACGGGCAACATACTTTAAATCTGTAAAAGCTAATGGTGTTGGTTGATTACTTCCATTTGGGGCTGGTAGGTTAAATATTCGATTATTTGCCATATTGATATTACCTTTCATTGGGTAAGATCCATCTCTATCAAGAAATGTGTTGTCTACATAATCTTTTGTAGGAGGTTCTTTCCCATCCAGTGGAGTGCTAAGATTTGTAATTCGGTACCTATCCTTCATATCAATATTTGAATCAACTGTCAATCCTGATGTTTTGGGAGAACCACTGGAATTATCATCAACATACTTTTTAGTAGCAGCATCAGTATTATTACTAGGTGCTCCAACATTTGTGAGTCTTTTTTTACTCATATCATAATTTCCATCTGCGGTTAAACTAAATCCAACTCCTGGAGCACCCTGAATTCCTTTAGCAAAAGGATGATCAAAATTTTGTTCGTTGAATATTCCCATTTTTATCTAATGGTTATATTTATTTTAAAGGGGCTGTTTCCCTTATATGTTCCCATTAAAGTTTATTGCTAAACGTTTTTTTGGTTTATCAACGTATAAAAATGAATATTGTTTTTTAGTTGCTTTCCTATATGATTCTTTATTAACTCCCAACTCAGATGATATGCGATTTGCTTCCCTCGATGATGGAAATTCATATAGACAATAGTGAGAACAATTCAACCGGATATCCTTCGGAGTTTTATAAAATGATTGACTGAGGTAGATTACAGAGCAATTCTTATGTCGTCCTTGGATAAAATAATCTATTAACTGTCTCTGGTTTTTATCACAGACGTAATCATCGAATATCACAATTTTTTGATTGTCTTCGTAATCCATTTCTGTAACCGGGATTATTTCATTATTACTAACATGAAGTATTTCATATCCAATTTTACTACTTAACTCCCTCATTTTTTTGATTAGTTTTTGATACTTATCCTGTTCAAGATTACGTGCGTAAAGATAAATCTCATCGTAATGCAACAGTGGTTTGATTAACATATGATATAACAAATTAGTTTTACCACTTCCACTGTTTCCACAGATTAACATTCTAAACGTATCCGCTGGCATAAAAGGAAATAACTGTTTATATTTTTTATCAATGTTATCGGCGCTATCATAATTTGGTATTTCCATTTTTATCTATTGTTTAAATAAAAATGGATATAGAAGAAACTAAAAATTTTGCAAAAAATAAAATCGAAGCCGACGCTTTGACTCAACAGGTTAGAGATGTTATAAAAACAACAAAATGGCAAAAACAAGATATGCGGGAAGGATTTAAAGAGACATTTAAACCACTTATTAAATCTCAAGATTCTATTAAAAAAAGTATCGACGAACAACAAAACGCGACTATAGCACAGCTTAAAGCTAATCAACTTGCTCTTACACAAGGTCTTAATCAAAACAGGATGGCTATAACTGAGGGATTTGATAAACTTGACGAAGTAAAAAAATGGGATTTGGCTCAATTACCTGGTTTTGAGGCGATTGAAGAGCCAAAAGAAGACGAAAAAGACGAAGAAGACAAAGAAGTTTTACCCTCTACATCAGAGGGTAAAATAGCAAAATTTACGCCTGAAGACCTCGATAGAAATTTAATGAACGAAGAAGCACAAGATATACTCAAAGTTAATGAATACCACAAACTCCCTTCTGAGTATTTTGAAGAGGATGTTTCTGTTATTGATAAATTAATCGAGGATGTTAATGAAGATTTAGGAGAGACTAGTAAAGCATTAAAAAATACCGCAATTTTTACACGTGACCCAAACGGTTATTCAATAGCTAAACCACAAAATAAAAAGCCGCATAAAAACACAATAAAATTTATAAAAAAATATAACACATTAAGCATTTATGCATCAAATTTAAGTAATCTTAAGTATTACAAAACAAAATCTGGGTCTGGGATGATTTACTTTAATAACCCACATCAACTTCTAGACAGACTTGAACTACTCGGTGGTTCAATTCTTGCTGGTAATAATGGTGTGATACCTGAGTTTTCTCAAATAGCACATCTTCTCAACCAAATGAAAGTGATCTCAAAAAAACAGCTAAATGACTTGTTGAAAACTTATTTATAATGGGGGGATTGCATCCCCCCTGCTGTTAATGTAAACATAAGATAAAATGGAAGAACGAGCTATTCACATTTCTTCGATAAACAGAGAAAAAAGAGGAACAAGCAGACCCGGTGATTTTACTATTAAGTTTAACCCATCTTTGAAACTTGACCCTGAAATGAAACACCAACTTGCTCTTGATCGATTGTCCATGACTTATTCCTGGTACAACATTAGAAGTGATTATAAAAACAATAAAATCAAATACACTCATGATGGAACCAACTGGCAAACAATTACTTTTACAGATGGAATGTATTCCTACTCAGATATTAATGATTACATTCATCAGTACATGGATCAAAAGTCTCACCACACAACAGATTCTAAAGGTACAAAGAAGTATTCAATCAATTTGACTTTTGTGTTATCTACCTATCGAGTTCTCATATCACTTGATGGTGATTATCAACTTGATCTGAGAGGAACAGAATTTGGAGACCTAATTGGTTTTGAAAAGAAATTTATTAATAAAACAGAATACGGATCAAAACTACCAAATATAACAAATTCGATTGATGTGTTAAATATCAACACAACGGCGATAACTGATAGTATTGTAAATGGAATAAATACTAATACCATTGCTGTGATACCAACAGACAATCTCACAAGGTCTTATCCATTTACGTTTGAACCTAAAAGACCATTGTATTGTCCTGTCTCTTCATTTCTCATTGATGAAATGAGAATATATGTCACAGACTCACTTGGAAGGCCTGTAAATTTTAATGGTATAGATTGGTTTATGACTTTGATACTTCACTCCATGTAGATAAGGGGAAAACCTACGGTTCCCCCTATAAGGGGGACTGCGTCCCCCTAACACCCCCTGCTGCTAAAAAGGGAGGGGTGTTGAGGGGTGCCCGAAGGGCTTGTCCGTAGGTTCCCCTTATTATATAACTATTAAAATAAAATGATGAGACAATCAGAGTATAAAAAGAGATTTGACCCTGAATTGGGTAGTTTTACAAAACAACATATTTATGGCGAAGGAATAACTGATGTGTTTAAATCGTTTGGATCAAAATTATTTGGAAAGACAATTAAAAAAGCCGCTAAAAAAGGCGTTGAAAAAGCAGTGACAGCAGCTGCAACAAAAACCGGTGAACATGTTGGCAAAAAGGCCGGTGATAAGATAGTGCAAATGTTATCAAACGGGGGGGTTGCACCCCCCCGAAAACCCCCTGCAAAAAAAGTTACTTTTAATAAAAATGTCGGGGTGGTATCTCAACAAGAGATAGATCAAATGTTGAATAATCTTCTTAGTGGAGGTTCAACACGTAAGAGAAAATTATATAATTATTAAAATAAAATGAAGTCTTTTAGAAATCCAAAATATTTAGACAGATATGAAGACGTTGTTTATGACCTGGAACAGACTTTAGACGCTGCTCCAGCAAATGACGCTCACCAAACTAAAACAGGTCTTAGATTTGTAGCTGATAATACAGGAGAATCCACTCCTTTTGATTGGTATAACGCACGATTATCAATGGATTTTAAAGTAAATAAGCTGGCAGATGGAGGAAATATAGCAGTTGCTGACCATAATGGAATTGTAAATGGTAGTAACTCTTTTATAGAGAAATTAAGTATCCTAGCAAATGGTCGAGAAGTTTATAGTTGTAATTATGCGAATCATGTTGTAAATATTAAGAATTTACTCGAATATAATCCTTCATATGCCCAGAGTGTTGCTACAAACGAATTTTATTTTCTTGATACTTCAAGAGCGGCAGAGGAAAGACCTGCTCAAGCAACTTATAATAAAGGTTTTCATAGTAGGAAATTACTATTAGGCGCATCAGCCACAGTAAACTGTGAAATTCCTCTTAATAGATATTCTTTCTTTGAAGCATTGGAAGATAAACTACTTCCTAATACAAAAATTGAGTTAAATATCGAGATTGAAAAAGATGCGAATTTAATTTTTAAAGCTGCTGATGATTGTAGAGTTATTATAACAAGACTACAACTTTTTATTCCAAAACTTACGTTTAATTCAGAAGGACAAAAGTTGTACATGGATAATTATCTTAAACCTTACAAATGGACATATTTGAATGAGGTGGTTGAAAGGTCAAATAATACACAGCAACAGACAGGACATTTTAGAATTACAAATGCTATTTCAAAACCGCGGCATGTATTTGTTTTTGGAATTGATACAGCAAGAATCGATGCACAAACAGCAAATCCATTTTTATACGATACTTTTGATTTACCAAATAATGCTAATATATCAAGATGTTACCTGGAAGTTGCAAATGGAAACGAATACCCCGATATTCACTTTAAACCTTCTACAGATATGTCAAGAGTTTTTAGAAATGTAATGTCATACGTCTATGCAAATAATGATTATCAAGGTGGAACCTTACTCAATAGAAGTAATTTCAAAACTTTATTTCCTTTTGTGTATTTTGATTTGACTAAACAGAAAATGGATATAAAAGATGGAGTCACAAAACTAGCATTTCATTACGAATTAACTGCTAATCCAAACGCTGACTACAATATTTACGCGCTAGTCTTACATGAAAGAATAGCAGAAATATCACAACAAGATGGAAAACTATTGCTTAGAGCTTAAATTAAGGGAAACCTACGTTGATACAAACATCCCTGCGTCATTCCAGTTGCTTCAACGAGTAAGGATGATGAAATTGTTATGAGAACTGTTAAAACTTTTCTTCTTGTAATCACGAAAAGATAGAATTTTATGATTGTTATTATTTTTTCACATATATTTATCACAAATGTGAAAAAATATGTGTAAACCATTTGATTGGTTGAAAAAAATCATACGATAATCACGAGATTAAAAATATTACGTAGCCCCCTATAAGGGAAGGGTGTTAGGGGAACCGTAGGTTCCCCTTATTAAAATATGATGTAATATCACACGTTAATCTCGTGATTAAAGACAATAACCTTCTAGAAGGTCACTATGACATAATATTTAGATTTAGAAAATAAAATCTAAATATATCACACCTAGAACATTCAAAAGATTAAGCGACGAGATTGAAATTAATATAAACAACAAATAAATAACATGACTACTTATATTGAATACGGAGTAAAACTTACAGATGGCCAAAAGACAAAACTGGCTTCTGCGATAATAAATCAATCACCTTTGACTCTTCGGTTAAAACATTCTAATCTTCGAGGTTCTGATGAGTTAATGTTGACAAAAAGACAGATTGCCAAAATAAATAAATCTATTGCAAATGGCACAGGATCTGATATAAAGATAAGTAAAACTCAAATTAGAAAATCTGTAAAACACGGAGGAAACTTATTTTCATCACTTGCATCTCTTGGAGCAAAAGTTCTTCCTTTCGCAATAAAAGGAATAAGTAAAGCTGTTCCCGCATTAGCTACAGGAGCTGCCACTGCACTTGGTGAAATAGGATTAAATAAAATCTTCGGAAAGGGGGGACACTACGGTATACCAATTACACCAGAGTTTTTCCCAATGCTACCGCCAATTGTAAGAGAATTTACCAAATCACAAATAAATCAAATTAACAAAGCTTATCAATCAGGAAGTGGAGTAGTTATAAAACCAACTCGTAAACAGATAGAAGGAGGATTTTTAGGTACACTTGCTTCTATAGGAATTCCATTAGCAGTTAGTTTAGTATCTAAGATGCTTGGAGGAGGACTTCAGGTTGACAGACGTGGGTCATCTAATACAGCAAATGTTTACGTTCCACCCACAGATGGGGGAGGTTATCCATATCAATCACCTCCTTTTATTGGAACATGGACCAACCCTATAGGAATGGGTGTTAAAAAAAAAAAGACCAAAGGCAAGGGTCTACTATTAGGAAAAAACAGCCCATTCAACTCAATTCCCATTCTAGGAACAATTCTATAATGGGGGAAGCCCCCAAAACCCCCCTGCCCCATTTCGAGATTAAACCTCTTTCAAACTTTGACCTAATGGAATGGATAAAAAGACTTGTTATAAAAAATTTCAGAGGAATATATAGTCGTGATGGATTACCAGGGAAAATTAGAAAAGAATGCGGAATAATTAATCTGGATGATATTCAAGGTCCTGGAACACACTGGGTTTGTTATAGAAATGGGGAGAGTGGTTTGTATGAGTACTTCGATCCGTTTGGTCTGATAATGCCAAACGAAGTATTAGACTATTTTCACACGGGATCTGTAAAACCTATTGTGTACTCAATGGATGAAATACAAAATCGCAGCACTGTTCTATGTGGATATTGGTGTTTATATTATTTATTCGAGAGACAAAAAGGTAAAGATATTCTAGATGTAATACATAACCCACATTTTGATAATGATAACAGCGATTTCATACAGGAATACTTTGTGGGGGGATTGCACAAGCCCTTCGGGCGCCCCCCCAAAACCCCCCTGCTGTAAGATTTAGAGATAAGACGATAAAAATAATATTTAATAAATATTATTTTTTTAATCTTCATCTGGGGCATTTTTTAGTGATTTAACCCGCTCAACTTTTGTATTTAGATCTTTAACACTATCAACTATATCTATGAAATTAGAGTAAATATCAATAAGACGATAAAGTTTCTTCTTTTTATCACTATTTAGTCCCAACCAAGAATATTCCTCGTTTCTTATTTTTTTCCACATCTCACATTCACCAACCATCAGAACTCTAGAAAGATCTTCGTTTTTCTTTCTAAGAGACTCCAACTCATGATTTATTTTTACTCTTACTTCTTTCTCGAAATCCTTGATTGTTTTAACATCCATATTTTTTTCAATCTCAGAAAAGAATTTAGCTTCCATTTATTATATAAATAGATAATTACCTTTTACAACTTTGTTAAGCGTATTTGATTTCTCACTTATTTCCATAAGTAGCTCAAATACTTTTATAAATTTCGTATCGTTTTCCAATCTAGAAAAATCAGCGTATTCATAACTCATGTTTAGACTGTTGTATATCTTTTGAAGCTCACTTTTCAGAAAATTAGATCTAGTAGTCATAATTTTTATCTAAACGTTATATAAAATGAAAGAAACTTATTGTATCGTAGATAAAAGAGTAACTCCTTGTACAGAGCCAAGTGGTTACCAACAAGATAAAAGAGGTAGAACTCAATTCTTTTGTAGATGCGCAGTTTGTGGAAATAAAAAAGTAAGATATGTAAAAATGGGGAATACTCCCATGCAAACTGGAAGTGGAAAAAGAAAAACTAAAAAGAAGTCAAAAAACTAATTAGCCCGTCTGAAGGGGCGGGCGTCTTTGATACAGTTGTTGGTACAGCAGTTGATGGATTTGTACATTACGGGCTTCCTTGGATGGGTAAAAAAGCAGTTGAAATGGGAAGGTATTATGGGTCAGAAGCGCTCAGAAACCCTAAATTACAGAAAAAAGCAATAAATTATGCTTTGGACAAATTAAATCCAATGATACAAAACGTAGGTTCTCAAGCTCTTGACCAATTATCAACCAAAATACGACCAAAGAAAAACTACAAAACAAACAGAAAAGATCTTGATGGAAAAGGAATAGATATTCACAAGCAGATTGGTAAATTACCAAAACCAAAAGGAGGATGGACCTTGCCAGGACATAAATATACCGGTCCTTATAATGATCTTGAGAACCAAGTAAGTTATGATCCGGAAACCGGCGAAATATTAGAAATTTATGATCAACCAACTGGGCCAACCGATGCTGTTGCCATGCAGCATGATGTTGATTATAGTGTTTGTGGGGATGACCGAAAGTGCAAAAATAAAGCTGACAGAAAGATGGTAAAATCGTTAGATGCTATTCCTTGGAAAGAAAGACAATGGGGGCATACTTTGGCTAGAACAATAATTAATACTAAACAAAAACTTGGACTTGGTTTAAACGCGAGTCGGCGTTGAGTAGTGATTGGTCTCAACAATTAGCCGACGAACTTCACAAACCAATCACAAGAAACTTTCAAAAAAGATCAGTAATCTCAAACGGTATTGATGAAATCTGGGCTGCTGATTTAGTTGAAATGCAAAAGTTTAGTAAGTGGAATAAAGGAATAAAATATCTCTTGATGGTTATTGATGTTTTTAGCAAGTATGGTTGGATTAGGGGGCTGAAAGATAAGAAAACTGAAACTGTTAGTAAAGCATTCGGGGATGTATTCAAAAGTAAACGTAAACCTCAAATGTTATGGACTGATAAAGGTTCTGAGTTTATCAGTAAACATTTCAAAGATTTTCTTAAAAGTAAAGGAATTAAACTGTATCACACTGAAAACGAGGAAAAATCTAGTGTTGTTGAGAGATGGAATAAAACAATGAAAAACAGAATGTGGAAGATGTTTACTGTGAATAACAACACTATTTACTGGGATAAGATAGATAAACTAGTTGATGATTACAATAACGCTCGACATTCTAGTATAAAAATGTCTCCTGTTGAAGCAAGTAAAAAGAAAAATGAAAATAAAGTTTGGTCTAATTTATACGGTGATTTAATCTACTTGAAACCTGGTAAACCAAAGTTTGCGATTGGTGATAAAGTTAGAATATCAAAATATAAGAGGCGGGTATTTGATAAAGGTTACACACCAAACTGGACAGAGGAGATATTTGTGATTGATAAAGTTCTGCCAACAAAACCTGTTACATATAACATCGTTGATTTGATGGGAGAAGAGGTTGAAGGTTCTTTCTACGAGCAAGAATTACAAAAAGCAAAACAGCAGACATTTAGAATAGAAAAAATTATTAAGAGAGATAATAAGAAGAAAATGGCATTAGTAAAATGGAGTGGATATCCTGATAAATTTAACTCATGGGTTAGTTCTAAGGATTTGGTTGATTTTTAATACGAAATTCGTATTAAAAAAATAGTTATTTACTCGTTTTCTTCTTCAGATATAACTAAGTCTTCAAATACTGGTTCATTTATTTCTTCGATATCGCTTTGCTCTTCATCTTCCTCTTCAATTGTTAGTAAAGACTCTCTAGGTTTAAGCGGTTTCACATAACACTCATGAACTTTTATTTGCAAAGATGTCACAGTTTTACTTATAAAAATTCCTTCTATTATCAATGCCAATTTCACATTACAATACTGGTTGATGAGTTTAAAAGGATTTATATCTTTTCCTGCCTTTCCCTTAAACAAAGATAAAATTTTCTTTGATTTTTCTGAGTAAATAAGTTTGGCATAAAGAACTGGTGCAGATGAGGGATCTTTTCTAGTTTTCTTCTTTCCTTTTTTATCAGTGTACTCTTCTTGTTTGTAGTATAACGGTGGGGAAAGAGACGAAGCTAAATCTGGTCCATATTCATTCTCTAAATGTTCTATAGACAAAGATGTTAGACTATTAATAGCACCATAAAACGCTTTTTCTTTTTCATTTGGTTCAGAATCTTTTGCCCAAAGACATACTGGCATACTATATCCTACTAACTTTTTTGTTTCTTGATTTCTCTTTTCACTAACACCAAAGCTAAAAAGAAATGGGGTTTCGATTACAAGTGGTCCTTTTTTGTTGTTTTGGTATTTGATTTCAATTGGTATACGCTTGTATTTAATGTTACTATCTTTTACTTTTGACTCTTTTGCTTCTTTAAAAATAACGGTGTCTTTGGTTAAATGATCGTAGCTGGATAACTGCATTTTGTTAATTATAATTTATTTTCTTAAACTATAATTTAAAATTTCAATTTTATTTTGGCCAGAGAAGATTAACGGACCAGTAGTTACTCGATTCTGGATTTGTATAAGTTAACTCTCCTTGTTTATTTTTTATCTTTGTAGCTCTAGCTAAATATTTATCTCTTCTCTCTTTATCCTTGTGTATTAAGTAGTCTGGATATTTTGGAGAACCAAAATGTACTTTCTTTCCGCTTGGAAGTGTGGCCATATATTTATTATTTTTTCTGGTTGAGTAATCAAGTGATTCTGCACCAAGTTTTTTAGCTCTTCTAGTTAATCTTGTGAACTTGTCTCCTGTAAGAATAAATTTTTCGTTTGGAGGAACGTAATCTGGATCCTCATCGTATTGATATCCATCATCAACTATAAAATCCAAATCTTCTTTTGTAGGAGTAGTTTCTCTCGATCTTGGTTCCATTTTTATTTAATGGTTATAGTAAAACAAAAATGTTATAGGATTAATCATCAAAAAATTCTACATCTATTTTGGAATGGTACTATGTTAGCAGATATTCTAATAAGATACTAAAGCCTGAAATAATAAAGAATGGCTATTACAGGGTTTGTCTTATGAGATCAAGAATTATCTATATCATTTTCTACATCAGAATCAAAATCTGTATCTTCAGCTAATTTATAACGGAAAAACTGATTAACAAAGGCATTCTTGAATTCAGGTAATCCTGGGTATTTTTCAGGCTTCTTTTTTCTTAACAAGTTGTACCTTAACTGCCTAATGTCGGCTATATCTGAAATATCAAAGGCTAATTCTGTTTCTTCAATTAACTTTCTAATAATCTCCATTATTTCCTTAGCCAAAGATCCTTCAAATACATCATCATAATATTCACTCTGTGTTGTTAACAATAGATTCAAATCTCGACATTTTTTATTAAGATCAACATAGATATTGTAAACTTCAAGATTATGACCTGTATATACTGGTAAAATTTCACCTCTTGGAGTTACTTTGAACGACATTTTATTTATTGGTTATATTAAAACAAAAATCTTATAACAAAAATGTTATAGGATTAATCATCAAAAAATTCTACATCTATTTTGGAATGGAAATAATCAGAAAAATCTAACTCAGTTTCAAAATAATCGGGATCGTTTATACTTATTAACCTTGTAATATTTTCAAATAATACCTCTAAGTTTTCAGCTGCACCAGCATAAGTTTCTTTTACTTTCACTTTATCAAATCTGCTAAAGAATTCTTTCATATCGAGAGACCCAGCTTTTACTGCGTCAACTAACTGATAAGCATTTTGGTCAATGTTTTTAAGACTATAATAATCACTTTTATTTGAGAATATTAAGCCATTAGTTGTGTATTTACTTTGTGTGTTCATTGCGGTGCTTTTGGATTTGATACCCATCTTTTATAATTGCGTTAGAATCTTTAAGCTGAAATTCAATTTTATTTTTTCTGGAATCAATTAATTTTCAACAAGATCAAATACTGATCTGTCTCGAAATTCTTCATAATTAGGCGGATAAATTAGATTATTTTCAATATCTACTTCAGCTCCTCTAACACTATAAAATCTAAATTTATCAAAAAATTGACTCACAACTTCTCTATATTTATGAAAAGAAAATAACGCCAATTTAGCAATATTTGGAAACAAAACATATAAATGTAACTTTCCTTCATATCTACGTACACTCATTCTTTCAAAAATACTAAAAAAATAATTATAAGTAATATATTCTTCATCTAAACATTTTGCTATCAGTTTTATATGTTTATCTATCATTTGATATTTTTTATAAAGATCCTTATTTTCAAATACCATACAACCTACTACTTCTTCTCGCAAATCCTCCTTTCGCGGCTCCCTTTTTAAAAATTTAATTAAAGCATCAATTTTTTTCTTTTGTTTTCCATTCATGTCTATTTTTTATATTTATTTCTTTTAAATTTCAATTTTATTTTTTGAATCACTTTTGTTATTTGTTTTAAAGTAGTTAGGAAATGAGCTATTTGTACCTCTCTCGTAATTTTAAGATAACCGGCAGCGAGACGGAGATGAGCTGGCGGTTAATTTTAAAACATGTGAGGGTGAGGGACAATAGCTCATTTCCTAACTACTTATCTTCTCCTTTGATTTCGGCCAAGATAATCGCGTTAATTTCCTTTTTATGAAATTCTACCTCCTCTTTCGCGTTAATTTTCGTTATTCCAAAGTCTTTTTCTATTAAATTCGCCTTAATTTAAGTCGCGTTAATTTCCTATAATAAAGTAATCGTTATCCCCACTGCCCATAGCGCTTTACAAATTATACTTCTAAATTACCAAGATCCGGATTTACAATACAAGTACAATAGTACAATCAATTCTATTCAGTAAAAAATAACAAATTAAGAAACTAAAGAGAAGTAAAACAAAGTAGAAGAAAATCAGTTCTAATGCCTTATTATTTAGCTTAAAGCAGCTGTGTCACGAAATTTATCACAGTTCACTGAAACTGTGGGAACTAAAATCAAAGGCCGATTAGCATTAATCCAGGTTTAAAATTTTGTTCCGTTTTTGTATTTTACATTCCGTTGCATTGCTTAGCGTAACACTTTGTGTTATCATTACTGTATCTCGTAGTAAAGGCTCAACAGTATTTTGTGAACTCGAGTTGCATGTTCTTAAACGAGAAAACCTTCCTTGAAATTAGCTTAATCTTTGATTAAACTTAACCACCTTTCGAGGAACCGGGCCCAGAACGTTGAAAGAAAGTATAAATGCTACAACAAATACAAAAGGAAGCGCGGATGGACAAACTTGACGAAGATTGTTTGCAACGTTTGATAAAATGCTTGTGATTTTGCCATTCAAAAGTAGTTTCTCAAGTTTCATAGCAGCTAATACGGACATGCAACTGGCATCGATAAAAAAATGAACTATCCAGCAGTGACACAGCCCTTTTAAAGATGATATGTAACAAACAGCATCCAAATGTTTATTGTACAATTAATCTTGATCTTCTGCGAATAAAAGAAATTCAGCTTAAAAAGCTTGCTCTGTATCTTGCCTTTCAGTTCATCATTTCTTTTCGCTCTT